CAATAAATTAGTAGCATGGCGAGAGGGTTGAAGGGGAGGGGAGGGGAAGGGAGGGAAGCAGAGAAAAACATGTAGTTCAATATAATCAATTTAAAAAAAAGAAGAAGAAATTGGGTAAATTGTGTGGAGCAAAACTCTTATATCCAGTTAAGGACTTTAAAATATAACTCAGAGTCTGTATTTATCCTTACTCAGTGTGGCCTCCCCTAAGTGGCTCTGACTTCTCAAGAAAAGCAGCTTTTCCCTGAGTTTGCAAAAAAAAAAATTCCCAAATCATTTAAAAAGCCACGTGGGGGTCTGAAGGGATCTGAGTCCTAGCTGGGGTTGTTTCCCTATTACACTCCTGGGACCTGCACTTCTTGGACGTCCCGTTTAAGAGGAGTTGAATGGAGGCCATAGTGAAGACCACAGTTACACAATCAATTGATCTTTTGTGTGCTTTGCTCCCCAGAGGAGAGATTGTGAAATCTAAACATTTTTTTTCCTATGACTTAAGCTCAGTTGTAATTAAGAAAGAAAGAAAAAGAAACAGAATCGGTTGTTTTCTTATCTATGAATATGTACTCTGACAGAAAATATGAAAAATTAATGCAATCCATTTCGAGAGATAGCACTCCTATGAAACTTGGTCATTTCCAACTTGAAAACCTGAAAGCCGGCCTGTGGTGGTCCAGGGGACGTCAATTTGAGGCAATGTCCACTAGGTGGCACTGTGTCTGAAGGTTTCTTTAGCCTTGGCTGCAATTTCTTTGGCTGCCTGCTTTCTTTCTGTTTTGTTCCCGTTTCTTGTTCTGTTAAAGGAAGTTATTATAATTTAGGCCTAAAGTATGCTTACCTTAAAATGAATACATTTTTTTTGAAAAGACTAGTGTTACAGTTTGCCCCAAAATAAGCTCATTCATTTGTGAAGTTTCTTATTAACTCTCATAGGTAAGATTCTTGTTGTCCTGGGTAGTTTATGGGAACCAAGGGTCGTGTGTGTGTGTGTGTGTGTGTGTGTGTGTGTGTGTGTGTGTGAGTATGTATGTCTATGCATGTGTGTGTGTGTGTGTGTATGCCTATGTATGTATGTATGTGTGTCTGTGCGTGTGTGTGTTTCTCTCTGTGTATTGCAGGTAGCTGTATTCTGGGAAGCCAAGCTGCTGATCTTCTAAGTTAGGGAGTCAGGCAGAAAATTAGGTTCTCTTGTCAGATGACTAGAGCGTGGCTCCTGGTCAAGGGAAGGGCTTTGCTGGGCCCCACACTCTAGACACTGTCCAGGCTTCTGCTCTAAGGTGTGTATTATATGATTCTCGGATAATTCAAAAATGATAATGGGGCAACTTGGCTGACTGGAAGTCTCTGCTTGATGACGTGGGATAGGCAGGCACCTTGTGAGAGGACACCTCTGAATGAACGCGGGCGTTTCCCACCAACGATTCATGGGGATGCTGATCTAGCAATCACGTTCCTCAACAGCTGCTGGATAGCAGAATCCCCCTTGGAGCATCTTTTGAAAACCATCAAGTTGATATGAGACCAGAGGCTGTGAATAAGGCTGGGATAACCCCAAACTGCAATTGCGCCCACCCACCCACACACACCGGAATACAATTAAGTTCTACCTACAAGAAACTTGTATGAGTATCTATACTCACACACATCTGCACACGCACATGCGTGTGTAAGGGTGCACGTGTGTGTGGGTACGTGTGTAGGAGCCAGATGCCACATGGGGGTTTTGTTCTTCAGAAGTAATCCACCTTGGTTTATGAGTACAGGCTCTCTCATTGGCCTGGAGAATCATGGTTAGGCTAGACTGACTGGCCAGAGAGTTCCAAGGACCTGTTTGTGAGTGCTGGTATTACCTACTGAGTGCTGGGATAACAAGTGTGCACCCATGTCTTATTCCTGGTTCTTTTTTCAAACAAACAGATAAACAAACTAAACATGGGTTCGAGGAATCTAGCGCAGATCTTTATGGTTGCATGGCAGGTATCCTTCAGCTAAGAATGTATGTATGTATGTATCTTTTTATAGTCTTAATGCTCAAAGACAGCTTAAAATTATAGACTTGGGCTGGTATGTTTACAATTGACAATAAATAGCAATTACTTTCAGGCTCAGAAGATTGGGGCAGAGACATACATGCTACAGGGTTTTTTGTGTGTGACCTGAGGTCACAGATTCATCATAAGATCCCTTTTTGGTATTGAAACGTCCTTACTGAATTTTTGAGAGGAACTGCAATTCTTGGATACTCTAGCAAAATAATACAAAAGCATTACCTCCTGGGTCTCTAACGAGAGGTCTAATTCATCCTGGGACATGAACCCTTTTTTCCCCTGACAGCAGGCATTGAAAGTGCTTCTGAGAGGTGCTATTTATTGAATTTTCTTGTAACTAAATGGATCTGTGGCAGCTCTGACCTAGAAGCCGCTGATGAAAAAGGCAAGGAAAGTGCATTCCCAGCAGAGAGGGAGAAAGGCAGCCCTGCCCATTTCATCAGGGGCTTCAGTCTGCTGCTTTGGCCTGGGTCTCAGTCTTTGAGCTAATTCCTCATTTGCCCATGCAGAAATCCTTGCAAAGGGGATTTGTCAATCTCAGTAGCAGAGGCTCTAGCAGCTGCTCGTCTCTTAGAAATTCAAATTTGAGAATCCAGCATAGAGCCCCTGCATCTCAGACTCAGAGGGCTTGATCCTGCAGTTGGTACATGCTCGCCCTCCTGGAGGTTAGTTCACACCATTCTCAGCTTTGAGAGCAACTGCACTGGCCACAGTGACATTTTCCTTGCTTTTCCTCCACGATGAGTCTGTGTGTGTAGAAAGTCAGGGAAGAGCTCTGTGGGGATGTGTGGTACACATCTGCTCTCCTGCCAGTGGTGCAGGTCAGAGCTGGGGGACAATGAGGGCGTGGCTGTAAGCCTCAGAATACAACTCTGTCTCTAAGATGCCTATTCTAATCAGGTTAAGATGCAGTATGTGTATGTGATATCTATGTGTAGATATACATAATGGATATAGAGACACTATATATATAAACATATAAAGTTACAATGTATATTGAGGTACCATATGTATATATAAATGCATAAGAATATATGTAGTTATTAAAGTATACTATATATGATTAAGTATATAGTTATATACATAATCACACACATAATTTTTATATGTGTAACTATATATACATAATCATATATATGTATATGATATATATGATATACACGTGTATATGTATATACACATAATCTGCAGTGTGAATGTCATGTGAGCCAAACCAGGAGATTCCAGAAATTGGGACACCATTGAGAATCCTGAAAAGAGACCTGTGAGACTGTAAGTCAGCAGAAGTGGGGAGGGACAGAAAGATGACCGAGAGCCATCACATTGTTCAATGCAAGGGACCACCATCTGCTTAAAATTCCATACAGTGAACTTCAGGCTGTACAAGGACCCAAGCGTAGGCCAGGGCAGAGGCTGACCTTATATAACCTCTGTGGATTCTCCAAGAGTTATGAACAACAGACTAGATCCTTCCCTCCTTTGAGGGCACTGAAGGTGAAGAGAAGAATAAGGAAGAACCAATGTTATCTCCAGGTGGCTTCTCATTGCTAAGGGTTGAGCTTGTGTTATTCTGACTGCCCACTTGATGGCCTTACTGTATAGCTGAAAGCCTCTCTGGATAGGGAGATCTCTCATTCCATGGCCTGTCCTTTAGATGACGTGGAGGGGTGGGTGGTCAGCAGGAATGTTGTTCTAGCAAGGGAATGAGGACACTGTCCTGCGCTGATAGCGTCTGGGTATCTGACTTTACTGGGCACGTGGCTGGAGACTCGCCTGCCTTATCTCATCATTTGAACCAAGGCGAAAGCTAGAGCTTTGACCTGCTCTCCCTTATGAGACATTTCACGCTAGCTAATGTCTGAATCGGGTGAGCATGTGGTCACTTGCTAGAGACTTCATTCTGGGAGCTCAAGTTAAATATGCAATTTCTGATACCTATCTACCTGTATTCATTCTTTTCCTGGCCTATGCTTCTAGACTTGTTTGTAACAGAATTTTAAGTTAATTATTGACATACACATCTGCTCTCCTGCCAGTGGTGCAGAAATCCTTGCAAAGGGGATTTGTCAATCTCAGTAGCAGAGGCTCTAGCAGCTGCTCGTCTCTTAGAAATTCAAATTTGAGAATCCAGCATAGAGCCCCTGCATCTCAGACTCAGAGGGCTTGATCCTGCAGTTGGTACATGCTCGCCCTCCTGGAGGTTGGTTCACACCATTCTCAGCTTTGAGAGCTCTTAGACCTTCATATAGTTCTTTAAATACACTGTGATTTAAACACCATCACCACCAACAAGAACAAATCACTTTTTGAGTGAACCAGGCATCATCCTCTTTCTTGTGGGCTAAGCCTCTGTATTTTTTTTTAAATATTTATTTATTTATTATGTATACAGTATACAATATTCTGTCTGTGTGTATGTCTGCAGACCAGAAGAGGGCAGCAGACCTCATTACAGATGGTTGTGAGCCACCATGTGGTTGCCGGGAATTGAACTCATGACCTTTGGAAGAGCAGGCAATGCTCTTAACCACTGAGCCATCTCTCCAGCCCTAAGCCTCTGTATTATAGTAGGAATTCACTACTGACTTACACAAAAGGAGGCCCCCTGCAGACCAAAGAGAGTCATGCATTTTGTGTATTTGTTACTTTCCTGGCTTACTTCATTTCCATTTGTATACCTGTTACAGATTTTTTAAATTATGCTCAATTATTTGGTTTTATAAGCTAATTTGTCTCTTGCTTTCTTTTATTGCCCCAAAGGTTTGTTTGACTCTGTATGTGTGTGTGTTGGACTTTTTAAGTGTTTTTGGGGTTCAGAATCTAGGATTACGAGATGCAGGGACTTTGCTGCCACATTGTAAAACACCCTGACTGATTGTACATCTGGTAATCCTACATATTTTTACTACTTTACAAAAAGAATGAGCTGATGGATAAAATTCTCTTTTATTTCAGGAATTACAACATATCGTTGGGCCGCAGCGCTTCACAGGAGTTCCAGGTAATCACGAGTTTGCATGAGTGTTTGAAGTCCCGGACGGTCTGTAATCTCTAAGCTCACCTGGTTCTGTCATCCACAGCTATGATGGAAGGTTCATTGTTCGATCTGGCTCAGCGGGGCAAGTCGGAGATGCAGCCCTTTGCTCATCTCACCATTAATGCTGCCAACATCCCAACGGGTAAGTTATATTTACGCTCTGCCTGAAAATGTATTTCAGTTTTTCAGCCCTCAACCCATGGACATGCTCAAACCTACCCTTAGCCCGATACTAACACTTTTGAGTCTTCTCAACCGAAAGGAAGAGGCAAACCGTTCAGTTGACCCCTACTTGTCAATCATGTGCAGTCCACATCATCTCTGTATTCATTTTCGGATACGGAAGTGGGTGTTTCTTTTAAATACCTGCTGGTTGGGAACACAGTGGCCATGTGTTTTCACTCATAAAGTGGACTAGCTTGGTATCAAAGGCATCCCACTACTGACCTCCTTGGTGGATGATGTCATTCAGCAAGCCAGAAAGTTTTCCTTTGGCACAACAGCCGTCTTCAGGAGGCTGAGATAGCCTGTCGCTTCTGCTCATGCTCCTCCTCCCGCTCCCTGGTAAACATCTAGTTTCACAGGCCAGAGACCCAGTTACTTTTGAAAATGAGGACCCAAAGCTCTGTGCCTGTAGCTACCTCAATGCATCCACTGGCTACTCACCACGGGCTAGGCAAGGAAGACAAGGATCCCAGTGAATGTTCTCTTCCTAGAGAGTTCCTGTTAGTGCTACCGCTGAGTAGTGCATCCTCCATACTGAGCACCTCCTAGGCTTAGGTCTTCTGCTGTGCCTTCCCATCCTCACTGCAAGGTAGCAGTTACCATTTTGGTCATTCAGACCCGAATATATATATACACATATATTTGCCAGAAGTGGATTAGTTTGGTGTCTGATGACCAGGGTTCTGATGTCTGCTTGGGTCTGTGACCTTGTACGCAGTACTGGAATCTGTACTTCAGCTACAGTAATCATAGAAGTAATATCCACATTGTGGGGAAGCTATACATGCTATAAATATATATTGGATAGAAGGAGGCATATTATTACACTCACCGGATGTGATTTACAATTATTATTTGAGCTTGATTAAGCCATTATGCAAATTTCATTTTATTCTACAAATGGCTTAAGGTAGGATGTTTTTTTCTTTTTTTGAGTTTAACTTTTTAAGAGTCTTGTAAGTAATAAAAGTCCATCTTTTAATAAATAATTTCGAGCCGTTACCCTAGCATAGGCCATAGAGAGAATTTTGTTGTTGTTGTTGTTCTGATTGAAGATACAAAAGGTGAGGAACCAACTCTTGAGCTCTTAAGAGATTCTCGAGGCTGCATGTTCTGATCCGCATATTTCTCTGTCTGTGTGTGCCTGGTGGGGGAGCGATGCTAATTTCCCCTGAGTGGCAAAACTAGTTTGCATGCTCACAAAGACAATCAAATTAATACCAGTGCATGGGCTGCGTGTGCCGTGAATGTACCCTACATTTATCTTTTCAGTTCACTTTAAATGGCATAGGATAAATATTGCCTGCGACGGTGTGCCAAAGTCGGCTTGGCAACGGCGAGCGTGTTTTAGTTATAAAGCTTCCTCTGCAGGCACCTAGAATTTAACCGGTGCCAAAACTCCAGGCAGAGCTCCTGGTTATGTTCCGACAGCTATTTGGTTTAGGGTGCAGGGAAATGAACCCCTCTGTGATTCCATTTAAGAAAATGGAGTCAGCGGCTCTGGTTGGGCCAACAGCCCCTCTAACCCGTTGTTCTCCCAATGCCGGCTGGTACTGAATGATTCCGAGGAAGTCGGCTTTCCCTTGCTGTTTTTATTTTGGAGCAATGCTATATATTTATTTGTACACAGTCCGTCAGAATCTGTCTTATGTGGACTGTGCTGCAGTTTCAAAAGTTTCTCGAGGCAAGTATTAGGGCGTCTTTGGGGACTGGGCAGGCTAAATGTTTGCTGAGGTCCGGCCAGGTCCTACATCTAGCAGCTCTGAGCCCAGCAGAGAACTGGAGAGGTCAGCCAGGCTGGGGTAAGAGGCCCTCAGCAGGCCTCGTTAGCAATAGAAATCCTGGCTGCCAAGGCCTTCACCTTGCTGTTTTCCCATCTATCCCCCACTGCTCTCTTCTGGTGAGTCCTTTGTTCTCACTGTCTGGCTTTCTAGCTGCTCACCTGTGGGCCTCCTGAACACCCCACTGGGTTTTTTTCTTGTCAACAATATGCTCCCAGTCCTCAACCCCTTTTTGACTTGAACCTTCCTAGATTTCCGGCTCTTCTGTCTCGCCAAGCTCAGCTTGGCTGACATCACGAATCTCTGCGGCTTCTTTTGGGCAGTCCCTTGTCACTGATCTCAAACATTGCTCTTTCTAGCAGGCAGCAATGGCAATGGAATAAAAATATCATATTTTATATGCTCACTTCTTATCTTCCCCGCCATCAGTGGTAAGCATCCCAGGGACCACCTACTTGGTAAAAAAAAATCTTCATTTTGGACAGAGTGAGTCATTCCTCATTTTAGGCAGAAATAGAAAGCACCATGTTGGGTGTCCTCTTGCCTGATCACCAGGAGGAATCGGTACTTGAGAACAGGAATGGAGTAGAAAAAGCAGAGAGTACATTATAGCATAGAGGCGCTTTGGACACACTGAACTATAGGGATAGTACTCTGTCAAGGTTCCGATCTATTCTCACCACTATTTTGTATTACATTCTTGCCCTCCCTGGCCATTATCTAACACCAACGTGAGCGGGCCCGTTGGAAGAAGAGACCTCACTGTAGTAATTTAACCTGTACGTGACGATCGAATGAAAGGAAGTGTAGTGTAGGAATTGGGTAAGAAGCTAGACAAAATGGAGTAACTTGAGATGGGAGTATTTTTAATTTCCTGAGCTCTGCCCATGGATTAGGTGGCCATGGACCAGCCTGGAGGAGTCAACATGACAGCCTTTCTGATGATATACTGAGCAGACTTTGGAAGTCTCATGTTTGCTCCCTTGGGATCCTAGGGTGGTATTTGCTCTTGGAGCACTAGACTTCAAAGCAGAGCTAAGACCTCCAGTGGGAACAAAGGAAGATTGCTGTCCAGTGCCCAGAGGCTGATGACTGGCTGTAGCATTTTTCTGGGTGTTTGTCCTCTTTGGAAACTGGAACCTTGTTTTCTTGATCATTTAATGATGGGTTGTCCCACTGGAGATTGGCTATTGCCTTATCCCCACCACCACCACCACTTTTTCCATCTCCTGTTTGATTTCTGCAGTAGCTTGATTTAGAGGGCACATCGAAAAGACTACAGATCATTCTCTGGTTCATCATCTGACTCTCTAGGGAAGGATACAAGTGTTCAAGTCCCCCCAGGACTCAGGCTACTGTGGGAAGGTAGATCGTATAGGTGGTGTTATTATTGTTATTACTATTATTATTATTATTATTAATAATACAGAGATTTCCTTGGATCCATCAAGCCAGAGAGTTGTCAACTTTCATGACTTAGAATCTAGCTCATGAGGTGGTGACTTCAGTGTTAGTCCCTGTGCTTATTTATTTTATTCTTTTTTATTTATTTTTATATTTGTTGCTGTTTTGTCATGGATGTGTGGTCCCCTGGAATTGGAATAGCAGACAGTTTTGAGCTGTCATGTGGGTGCTGGGAATTGAAGCAGAGTCCTCTGGAAAAACAGTCAGTGCTCTGAACCACTCAGCCATCTCTCCAACCCCTATTTTTTTTATTCTTAAAAAATTATTTAAGTATATTGTTGCAAACCATAATTTTGAAACCATAATAACATTTTTGTCCAAGTGTATCTTTTATTTCGACCTTATTCACTTTCCGTCAAATTCAATCCCAAATAGCATCCCTTTTATTTGCATGGTTGTGTGTGTGTGTGTGTGTGTGTGTGTGTGTGTGCGCAAGCGCATGCATGCGTCTTGTAGGTTCTGCACGTGAGCAAGACCTTGTAATACTTATCTTTTCTGGGGCTCCCTGACTGATTTCTGTCATTCACCATCTCAATATTAACAAGCTGTGGGCAGCATGACACCCAACAAAGTTTTTATGCTGCAGAAACAAATTCTTCCCTGTTCCCCTAGTCTGAGACCAGCTGACTGTGTTTGTCCTGTTGGCACTGTGAGTTTGCTGCAACTCTTTATAAAATCCCTGGAGGGAAGATGTGGTTTCAGACCTTCCCATGCTTCTGTAAACCCTTACCCTCTCAGTTACCATTTTCTCTGGTAGAATAATTACTGTCCACACAAGTACACATATTGCATAATTTCATTTGTTATGGGTATCCCCAATTTTTAAAGAGCCGGTAATGTGTATCAAAGACCTGGAGTATGAAAAACACTGGGTACATGGGTGATTTACAATGTTCTCCAGAACATGGACTTCTCCAGAAACAATAGCATGGACGTCCCTTATCACCTCATTTCTGAACAAGAAGGGGTTGTAGGAAAACATGGAACCAGGGATGATTTAACAATAGTAGATGTGGGATTGCATGAAGTTGAGGAGCTAGGACATTTTGTGTCTGGGCTTCTCTGGGGATAGACTCTCAGCTGTGTGACTCTGGCTAAGGTGAAGATTAGATAGATAGATAGATAGATAGATAGATAGATAGATGATAGATGGATAGATAGATAGATAGATAGAAAGACAGACAGACAGATGATGACTCAGATAGAATTGGCCTACCCATAGCTTCTTTGACCCGATTCTCACATCCTTCTATAGACTCCTGTCCGTGAACGGAGGTTAAGTTATGTGACAGGTGGAAATTCTCTTCCTGTACAAGCTGATTTCTTTCCTATCTAAATTGACTCTGGCTAATTCTCCTCTTCACCCTGGAAGGAACTGCTCCTCTCCACGGGGTTCAGGCTTCTCCTTTTTATGTTTCCAGGCATTGTAGCATCTTCATGGAGTCAGTTTTGACCCCTCTGTGTGGAAATCACCTCCCTCCCCTTCCCTCCCTCCCTCCTTCCCTCCCTCCCTCCATTCCTCCTTTCCTCCCCACCTCTCAGCAATTTTATGGACCTCCTCTAAGCTTTCCTTCTTTTCTGAACCATGTTGCATTCATTGCTCGTATCCTGTAGCTTCCTCAAGGGCAAAAATAGAGGACCTTTGATTTGTGCCTCCAGTGTACAGGATAGAAAGCATTAAGTTCAGTTGAATGCACCCATCCCCATATAGAAAATGAGTGTCAAGGTAAGTTACCATGTTAGAATAAGGACTGTGGTGTTGGCATATAACACTACCCTACCACCCTATGGAAAAAAAATGAGGAAAGTTTTTTGTTGTTTTTTTTTTTTTAATCCAAGAAGTGGATTCTAAATTTGTGCCTCTGTCCTCTATAGGTTCCCATAAAGTCAGTCTGTCCTCTTGGTACCACGATCGGGGCTGGGCCAAGATCTCCAACATGACGTTAAGCAACGGAAAGCTAAGGGTTAACCAAGATGGCTTCTATTACCTGTACGCTAACATTTGCTTCCGGCATCACGAGACATCGGGAGACCTAGATTCCGAATATCTTCAGCTGATGGTGTATGTCATTAAAACCAGCATCAAAATCCCAAATTATCAAAACCTGATGAAGGGAGGAAGTACCAAATACTGGTCAGGGAATTCTGAGTTCCACTTTTACTCCATAAACGTTGGAGGGTTTTTCAAGCTCCGAGCTGGGGAAGAAATCAGCGTTCAGGTGTCCAACCCCTCTCTGCTGGATCCGGATCAAGATGCGACCTACTTTGGTGCTTTCAAAGTTCAAGACATAGAGTAAAACCCATTCTGTGGAGCATTCGCATGTATATCCTAGATACTTGGAAGCATATCCAAAAGTCGAAGATGTATATAGGTGTGTAAGACTACTAAGAGGCACGGCCCACATTGTACAAAACTGGCGGTCTTCTCTCTTGACCCTGGCCAGGCCATGCCTATGTAAAGTCAATAGGAGATGCTAGACTCCTGGTGGTTACTCAATGGTTGTATAATTTCGTAATGAAATCCTAGAATTAAATCAGACTGGAAGATGTATAGTGATGCTTATGAAGTGGAAGAGGTCATAGTCTCTGGATCTAACTCCTGGCCATGTGCCACTGAGAACCTCAACGTTAAGAGGGTATCATTTCATTGCAGACAAATGGTAATTTGAAGGGTCAAGTTCTCTTGAATTGTTACATCATGCTGGAACCTGCAAATAAGTACTTTTTTTTTTCTAACAAGGAGAGAAAAATATATGTATTTTTATATAATATCTAAAGTTATATTTCAGGTGTAATGTTTTCTGTGGAAAATATTGTAAATTATATTTGTGCTATAGTATTTGATTCAAAAATATTTAAAAAATGCCTCACTGTTGACATATTTAATGTTTAAATGTACAGGACGTGTTTAACTGCTGCACTTTGTAACTCCCCGGAGGGAACTTGTCGCTAAGGGGAAGGATACTGTTTCGGGCAATCCCATGTAGTTGATTTCTTCATTCTTCTTAATTTAATAGAGTTTTCAGTCTTGTCAAGCCTATGCAAACAAAAAAATTAAAATGGATACCTTGAATAGCAAGCAGGATGTTGGTCACCAGGTGCCTTTCAAATTTAGAAGGAGCTGACAGAGCCAAGAAAGGATACATAACAGGCTACTAAAACCTGTCAGGAGTATTGTGTCATTATTGAACAGGTATCTTTCTCTATAAAAGCTACAAATTGTAAATGTTGTTTCTTTTTTTAAATAGAAAATGTGTTGCGGTTTATCAGCAAAAAACAATCCACTTTTTAATTTAGTGAAAGTTATTTTATTATACTGTACAATAAAAGCATTGTCTCTGAATGTTAATTTTTTTGGTACAAAAATAAATTTATATGAACCCTGCCTACTCATTTCTGTCCTTCGCTTTCATGTGTGTTTTACTCTGCGAGCCTGTCCTTTCCAATATGACAACGCGGCTGCTATCTTTCTCCAAAGGTTACTGGGAGAAACGCAGATTTAATTAAAACCCAGGAACAGATTCAATTAAATTAATGAAGCTTGGAGTTTGAAAAATAATTTTCAAGGGATTTGTAGTCAAGGATGTAGCCAGAGAGAAAGCAGGCTCCTCACTTAAAAAAAGAGCGGTTTGCCCTGCTTGCATCATGAGAAAAATAGGGTGCTTTGACTTGGGGAACATCTTGGGCATGCTCGCCCGCACTGCAGTAAAAGGAGACTCACTTTGTCCTGCACACATTTCCTCATGAGAATCTATGTGCGTGAGCTGTCCAAACCACACTGGTTACTCAGGAAGGGCAGAGAAAAGAAAACAGTCAACTTGGGAAGGCACGGGAAGCCATTATTTGAGGCACTTGTCATTTGCACATAAATGTTTTTTAATGATTGAGACAACATTGAATGGGGGAGAGAATAGCAGAGGTTACGACGAAGAAATCATAAATTTTAAACAGCAGAACTATCAGGGTGGGACTTGATGGTGTTGGCCAGAATACACCTACTATTTTATATCTGAGTTTGAGTAAACATAACATACTTGGGTGTTATATATTCTGATGACTGCTGCTTGCCTTATGGAAGAATTTCTATAAGCAGCTGAGTTTCTGGAGCTTCCACAGACCCAGAAGCTTGTCACAGCCTCATTAGCTACCCAGGATATAGTTTGTTCATTTCATATTTGTTGGGCGCCAATGATATGCTAAGCACAGTATCAGGCACTGACCATGGCTAACAGTGGGTCTCCTAGTCCTGGGCTTCTATTTCAAATCTTGGGAATCACAGAAAGCCTAAAACGAAATATTGGATAGGAAAGGGCACAAAAGCCTCCAGTGTGGATACAGAATGCATTAGTAATTTTTACTCTGGGGTAGCATGTTAGTTGCTTCCTAACTGTTGTGATAAACATGGGAAGAGAACACCATAGACCAGTGGTTCTCAGCCTTCCGAATGCTGTGGCTCTTTAATACAGTTCCTCTTTCCTTCTGCTCTGCCTTCTTAGGCGTCTTCCTCTATTTCCACTCTCTGTGCTTTAACCCCCTCTGGCCCTCACCAGATTTACCCAGAGGACAATCTGGTGGGGGGTCATTTCTCAGCCGAGGTTCCCTCTTCCCAGATACGTCTAGGTTTGTGTCAAGTTGACATAACTAACCAGAACACTCGGGGTCCGTAGGGAATAAGGAGGCTGTTGAGTCTGGTCAAGATGAGACTGGATCACGACCCCTGAATGAATGGGAGGCGTGACAAAACGATGTCAGGAAACCTGTGCATATTGGCTGGAGTCGATCTGAGCTGCTGGTTCATTTTACCTGCTGCATTTCAGGCCTCTTAACCTGCCAAATCAGGGGAAGGAAAGCATGCCAAGTCTCCAGTTATCTGTCTTCCTGAATCAATTTTTACAACCACAGCAGGCCCATGCATCCAAGCCTCTTTCTAGAACAGACACAAAGTGATTCTTACTTAGTGTGCTTGCTTTCCCCAGCTTCTCGTGCTCTCTGTTATTCGTTTACAAATTGAAATTTCCTTTTGGTTTGTTTTACATGCACCGGCGTTTTGTCTGCATCATTGCCTGTGTACCGTGTGTGTCTGGTGCCTTCAGAGGCCAGGAGAGATGCCACGGAACTGGAGTGGCAGACGGTTGTGAGCCACCATGAGAGTGGTGAGAATCGAACTCAGGTCCCCTGGAAGAGCAGTCAATGCTCTTCATTGCCAAGCCATCTCTCTAGTCCCTCTCTCATTCATTTCTATTCGGCTGCCTTGAAAGGTTCCCAGGGGAGATAACCTGTTTCCTTGGTAGCTCTGGTGGGAAGCTGAGAACTCTGGACCCAGCCTTTCTTTCTGAGTGTTTTTGTTGGATTGGCTTGACATCACAACACCACTATGCTCTATGCTTTGGGGACCAGAGCTTTCATTCACGTCGCCATCTTACCTTCTAGGGTCACAATGGGCACACCACATGTACATTCCTTTCGCTTTATCTTTGTTAACGGATTCCTCGACTTCTTTACTATGAAACTGAAACATGTTCTCAGTAACTGCAGTTATAAATGCTAAGTAGCTATTGGCTCACATTATTATGATTGAGCCTCATGTCACTTCTTAGAATAAAAATGTGTTCAATGTTCTATTTCAGCTATAAAACACGTACCCTTTTGATTAATAACATGCTTATGACAAGTCTTTTTTTAACTTTAAAGGTGTGTGTGTGTGTGTGTGTGTAACATTTGTGTAAGGGCCAAAAGAGACCTTCGGATCCTCTGGAACTAGAGTTCTAGGCCATTTTGAGCAGCTTGACGTGGGTGCCTGGTACCAAATCCAGATCCTCTGCCAGAACAGTGTGCACTCTTACCTGCTAAGTCACCTCTCCAGCCCCTCTCTTTTGATAACTTGAAAACATTATCTATCATCTATCTATCTATCTATCTATCTATCTATCTATCTACCATCATCTATCTCTTCATCTTTTCCATTGATGAATTTACATTAGGGGTTCAGCACTACGGCATCTTAACCAGAACTCCAGCTATTTTGCTTTAATTAGGCATGGCCTGAACCAGGAGAACTGGCATCTGGGGACAGATGGACGACCCAGATCAAGTGAAGAGCACAAATGGCTCCTCGCCATCTTGCCATCTTTTGGCTTTACTCAGACATTCAGCGTTCCAGATGGTGCCCACCCACGCTGGGGAAGCCAATGGTGACTCAGCTAATCAACTCCAGAAATACCCCCACAGACACACCCAGAAACTGTCTGTCTGGGCATCCTATAGTAGCCCGGCGGATTTGCCTCATCAAATTAACCATCATGCTACACTGAGGACACAGAGCCACCTATAAAATAGCTTAGAGGAGGTAGCAAATGCACTTGGATGATGACAGTATCACTTCCCAAGCTGATGGGGTTACCATGGAAACAAGTCTGTGACCATGCCTTGGAGAGAGACTCTAGAGTAGCTTGGCTGAAGTAAGAAGAGTACCCTTGAATGTGGGCAGTACCATTCCCCAAGCTGGCGTCCCCAAGTGAGTAAAAAAGGGAAAGTAAGCCAAGAATATTCATCCTCTTTGTTTCCTGACTGGACGTGACGGCCAGCTTCCTTCCGCTCTTTCCCTGTGACTTTCCCATCATGGTGGACTGTGCTGGCGCTCTGAGCCCAGCCCCTTCCTTCCTGAAGTTGCTTAGGTCAGGTACTTCATTCAGCAGCAAAGAAAGTAACGAACACAGCGTGTCATCCCTTCCCTAAGCATCTCTCTTTCTTCCTTAATTCCTGTGCTTACACTTCTATTAAAACTATTTTTTTTTATAAACTCTGGCATTGTTTGTAAGAAGCTGAATTTAGCCTAAAAATATCCCAATCCAAATGGGTGAAAAGACAAAAGTTACCAGACAATGCTAGATAACAAATAATAAACACATTTTATTGATGAAATCTAAATGAGGAATTAAATCATGAAACAAAATAGGAATTCTGTTGAGTGTATGTAAGCTCCCATGGTTCATGAGACATTCTGTATATAAGACAGGATAAGAGAGCTCCCCATCCCTCCAGCCTAAGGCTGCCATTGTCTCTCTCTCTATTTCACTGACTTACAAACATAATGACTGCTACCCCAAAGACAACCCCTGAGTTGATGCCCAGGTCGGAAGTTACAGAAGTCACTGGGAGCGTCTGTCCCGTGGGGATGAGATAGGACAGTAACTTGGGGGTGAGTCTTTATGTTAAAGCAGGCTTGATGATCATCAGCATTGGCAACGCAGCTCAGGAAGACTGGGAAGACCGCCAGAAAGCATCCAGACACCAGGGG